AAAATAAGAAATCCAAATCAGCTCAAATTTTAATATTTTATAAATAATATATTGATTTATTATATACTTAAATTTTAATTAATTTGAATTATTAGATATTTAGAAAATACATTTCAAAAACTTTAACTAAAATCTAAAATCTAAAATATTTATGCATTTACGTTTACATACATATTTCAGCTTTTACTGATTCAAATTAAATGAAATTCTGAACTAATTCTGATCGGTGCATCTCGAGATATATGATGTCAAACTTAGTGTCTGGAAACTTTTGGCTACCCTCTGTAGGTATTATAATTGAAATCAAATGTGGACTAGAGAGCACTCTTATAAGAGTACTCTCTAGTTATGCTATAATGCTATCTAGTTATGAGTATAATGCTACCTAGTTATGAATATAATGCTACCTAGTTGGTGTTTTGATGCTCTGTGATCTTTTTATTACATTGTAGCTATCCACTTATTTTCATTGTTCTGTGGTCTTTTTGTTACCTTATAGCTATCCATTTGATTTTATTATTATGTCCTCTTTTTATTATAAAGAAACTATTTATGTGTTTACAATGTTTTGCGTTCCTTTTGTTTATAAAGAGCTATTCACTTGTTTTTCTGCTTCTGAGCCTGTTTAGTGACCTGTTAAGATATTGAGGATGCTTCTTTTTTGCACCTGCTTGATTGCCTGTTAAAATGTCAAATTGCAATAAGAAAAATGCGTTAGGTAACGCAGTGAAATTGCAATTAATTTTGGCTGGCTTTATAGTATAACTCTGATCGATCTTTTGGGCATGTGATTTGAGGATCCAATTTGGTATCGTGATAGTATCGTGATAGCATCTTGCTAGTATCATGAAACTCTCCTGAAACTGTTATAGAACTGGCAGGGAGCTAGAGAATTTCTATTAGTTTGCCAATTTTGTGCTAGCTTAGGTGTCAAAATATTATATCCAAAGTTTTAGCTGAAATTGTGGAATAGTGTTGGCTGAAATTAAGCGAATTAATACTGCATCTTACTACGCTATAGTTATGTGATACTGTTCTGGTGTCAGAATACCCTCACATAGTTGCTTCCTTTTTATTTGCCATTTCTTGATTGCCAAATGAGGTATGAAGTGCTGAATTTGCAATCCATCTATTGCTAAAGATATGTTACAATTTATTCACCCACTTTTTGATTGCTGGTGAGACACATGCGAAGTATTAGTATTGTGTCATTCTTGCAATTCTACCTTTTATAGTCTGTTTGATTGCTGAGAATGAGGCATAAAGTGCTGAATTAGTTCAGAATTTACATCTTTCATATCCTTTTTTTTTGTATTCTTTTGAGTCTTTTCACCTTTCTGACCTTTTTCCTGCCTATCGTCGGTAGGATACAAAAGCATAATTTCTTATTTTCTTTTCTATATATTATTCTATCTTTGCATCCTACCAAAAGTATGCTATATTTTTCGAATTCATGAGAAAAGGTAATCACATATATTTTTTATTTTGAAGATTACAAATTTCTATATAATTTTATAGTACCTTTTTGCATATACTTTCATACTACTTGAGCATAAAAAATTTGAACCCAATATTAAAGAAATAAATGAAGTAATAAGGCTTTTTTCAGGTATAGCAGACTTTGATTTTGAACTGGGTTATAATGATTATACATATTTTCAACATTTATTGGCATCTAATACTAAAAAGAATGTGAACCTTTTAGAAGCCTATCATGCTGAAGAGATTTTTGATAAATATATAATTCAGATAGCAGGAAAGGGTTTTATAGTTGTTAATCACCTATTTGAAGTTTATGGGATTCCTGATGCTCATGAATGTATTGATAGTGACCTGTCTCTTTGCCTGGTTCTGGATATTGATGCAAGGCAGAAGCCTGATCTTACAAATCCTGAACTTTCTTCTTTAGATGAATATAAAATTTCTCGTGATAATTTATTATCTAAAATCTTAATTACTTGTGCTGATATCTTATACTCTGATTTAAAACATCTCATAACTTTAAATGATTTTGCTTTAGCTAGTTCATCTAGTACTAATAAATGCAGTTGGTATATCGTATATCCTTTAGCTTATTTTATTGATTATAGAGACCTTAGGGGTTTTATGGAAAACATCGCTGATAGAGTTGAAAACCATATTCTGAATTTATCAATCTTACGCTTTACAAATCACATTTTAGTCTTCAACTTCTTAGATTAGCAAAAGGAGATAGAATCAAAAGGCCTGCGATTTCTTTGATCAAGAATAAAATGTACAAACTAGAGGATTATTTAGAAATTTAACCATAAACCTTTTCTTTTAAGAAGTCAGAAAAGGGGAGTTCAAACCTATCGAAGATAAACCTGCTTTAAGCAAAAGAGCTAGCTTAGTTATTGCAAAATATGATGGCTTGAAATTGGAAAAGCTGAAAAAGTATTTATTACCTTTAATGCCAAATCATTTATAGAATGCTCTATTTGCAATATCAAATATGAAAGAAATCAGTTGTATAGTTTTCTTCAAAAAGATGGATGCTTTATACTTAATTGCTATTGGCAAAAACAATATAAGCCAAACCATAAAGGTTTGGTATTTGGAGAAATGACTAAAATTCTCACAATACCTAAGTGAGGAATAGCTGAAAGAATAGCTAATGGCATATCAAATCTATACCTACTTCCTGAACTATATGGAGAAGCTATTAACATAAAGAAGATGGAAGATTTCCCAGAAGCTTATCCCGACTTCTTGAGTGAAGAAATCAATACAACTCTAATTCGCTCTTCTATGATGACAGGAAAAAAAAAGGGTTAAGAAAATATCTCAATTCCTTAGCTAGGAATAAAGCTAGTTTACCTTGCATTGTTTGGATTTCTTACTGAAAAACTCTTAGTAATGAATTGCAGGGTAAAATTAATAATCTTAAATTATTCAGGCTTAAAATCTGTAATTATCAAGATGAACAAAACTTATCCGTAGATAAGTAGGATATTATTATAGTTCAAGTTGAGAGACTTTCTCGTATAAAATTCTCAGCATGTCTGATTGTAGCTATTTTATATGAAATCAATGCAAATTAATCACCAAATGAGTAGTGATACAAATGCATGAGAATCTGAGAATGTGATATGTGACATATTAAAAACAGCCCAGTATATACTTGCAATGGATGTCTTCAGAAATGAATTGACTTTAACCTTTTTTAAAGCTTATTGCAATGAAAATATTCGAGTAATCGATAATAAATTTCAACCCCTTGTAGGTAAAACTGTTGAGTACCTTTATGATCCAAATAGCAGGGCTGAAGCTATGCAAATAGGACATGAGTTATTACAGCAGGGCAAGTATGTGACATTCGTTCTAACAAGTTGCAGTATAGCCTGAGCATTGGCAGAAAAAGCCTCTAAATTGCAAAGATCTGATAATTCTCCTGTTAAAGCCCATGCTTATTATGAAGATATGGACAGAAAACAATGAAAAAAAGATTTTTCAGATATAAATACTGCTTGGAATGAACTTGATTGTGTAGCTTATAAAAGTACAGTAAAAGAAGCATATCTTTTGAAAAGACTGATCATTTTGATGCAGTTATAGGCATTATATTGTAACTTTAGTTAATGTTGAAGTCTTTATTCAGATGATGTTTCAGATTCGTGATTGTAAAAAGCGCATACTATCCCTTTATTATCAAAAAAATTCCAATGAGCTTTTCACCCACCAGGTTATAAAAATATTCGTGCTAAACTCAAAAGTGCTAGGCCTAATAATTTGCTTATAGCAATAAGAGGGCATCGTAAATGGGATAAAAATATTGTATCATATAAACTTAATCAATCACCTGCCATAATATCATACCTCAAAGTTAAGCATCAGAAACGTCTTTCTGTAAAAAAATTTATTGAGATATTATGCAGTCTTATAGCTAGTATAGGTGTTTTTCTCTCATTTATAAAAATAGATGAAAGCTGAGGAGTTATAGAAAATCATAAAAGGATTTGCAATGAGGTTAGGGTTGAAGCATTAGTTATCAAGGAAACAGATTTTGATGCAGTTGCTACTTTCCAAAATCTTTGATCCTAAAGAAGCTGAAAATCTTAAGTTTGACCAAGAGCGTTTTATTCCAGATACTATGGCACTTAAACGTTTCTATATGCGAAATATTTATGGTGATAAAGATATAGACAATAAGATTTGGAATAATCTTTGTAATAAAAAGTTTGTAAAATATTTTAGCCTGCCTGAACCTCAGAAATATTTCTTGATGTTATCTCACTTTCAAAAACAAGGCTATAATAAGGAGAATGCAATAAAAGGGTTAGAGGCCAAAAATATTGCGCAATGGAAAGATACTCATTATAAAACTAATGAGAATATTGAGAAATCAGTAGCAGAAGACTTGCACAAATCATATTCAGCTAATCATTGGAAGGATATAAGAGAACTCTTTCAAATACTAGGCTTTACTAGTATAGATAATAAGCATATAATTTCTGGTAATATAGTATTAAAAGCATTTACGTAATCATGTGAAAGGTTTATAAAAATTTGAAGTCAGTCTTTATTACTCTTTGGTTTTATGTTTCGTGCAAAAGAAAGGCCAGATCTTAAATCAGCTATAAAAGCAATTAATGTAATCACTAATAATTGGTGTGGCTATACAATTAAAAGCAATCGGAAAAAATAGGTTTCAAAGAATAGCAGGTTTGAGAATATTCATACAAAATTAATCGCCAGCCATATAATAATCTTGGTTTTGGAGATAAAGATGTACCAGAACTTCCACCATATAGGTCAAATGCAGATAATGAGATCCAGAAACTTTTTACTTCTATAGGGTAAAGAAAAATAGTTTTTCAGTCCAGATTGTTATTCAGCCAAGTATCTTGACTATATTAGATAATCCCAAAGGGGTCAATTCTGTTTTAGTTTTTTTACTTTCACGTCAGACATGATCATAAATTCCACTATGTGTGCTACAGATTTCAGTGCGAGAATAGGTTAGCTTATTACAGATAGGGCACATTTTTTAGGACAAGCTTTATAATGTCTGATACATCCTGAAGCACGCTAACATCCTTTTTCATAAATGAACCATCTTTTTTGATGTATTAGATAGATGATCCATACAAGGTAATTTTGATATTAATAATCTTAAAACTTCATCTTCACTTTTATTATAGATATTTAAAATTCCTTTGCTTTAGTGTCTGATTAAGAAATATTTTCAAATTGAAAAATAAATAGATTAGTATAACTAGGTAGCACTAATAATTATATCAGCATCTTGAATCAGTTACTAGAAAAGTATAATTTTTTGGCTGACTCTACTTTAAAACAATTATGCGAACATGCTCCTGAACTGGATGTCTTACTTCCTGATTGGATGATCTGCAGGTGTGTTAAAGTTACCCTTGCCACTTATTTAGTAAAGAGCAGATAGAGGCTCTCATGTCAGATAAGAGAAAGGGAAACTCACCATAGAGGAAAGGGCAAAATACCATGTTAAAACTGATGATTTATAGATATTGTCGCTAATCATTGGAAATTGGGTCTAAAAAGTAATAATGAAAATGAAATCGTTACCAGTGTCTCATGCCAGTTAATATTCCATGTGAAGTTAGCAGAAGGCAATGTAGATCCTGTAATTATTGATATCTTTGCTAAAAATCAAGAATGTATTCAAGAGTCTAATAAAATTCAGAAGAAACAAACTAAGAAACAAATGGCTAATCTGGATAGAATTCCATGCATTGTTCCTTAGCAAGGGTATCTAAAGGCTTCAAAATATTGATACTTCTAAAACTCCTACTAGAGAGGATCTTGTAGATGTAATTATAATGTTGAGTATGAGACCTGTGGAAGTAAGATCACTCCAAATTAATTATTACAAACTGAATCTATCGAAAATTTCAGCATGGTATAAAGAAGGCTATTCTTGATACTATACAGGTTATCTCAAGAGTATAGGAGAAAACAAAAAAATCCTGTGCTCTGACCATTTCTATATATGGAAAAAAATCCTGAACACACAAAGAAATTACTCATTTGGATTCAAGATGCTATTAAAGCTAGAAACCTACGTGATCCTGTCTTTACAGAAAGTGGAAAATGAAATGATACACCTTTTAATGAATTTCTAAAGCAAAAACCTTATAAGTCTCTTCTGAGGGAATTAAGAGAATATAGATGTAAGCATACTTTCAGAATCTATGGTGATAAGAATCAAGCTCCAGAATAACTTAAACGTCTTTCGAGAATCGCACTGAGGCAAAAATCAAACTGTCTTGATGCAGGTGATAATTACACTATAGGTGATACAGAATCAGAAGACTCTGGTCCTGAATCTGACTATGAATCTTAATCTATTCCTGAGGCAAATAGTTCAAAACCCCAAATACCCATCAGCTTCTTTACCAGTATTTTAACTGATCCTCAAAAGTCTAGACAATAGAAATGGATTCCATATTAGCTGAAATTGATGTAATGTTAGCTGAAATTTAGAAATAAATTCCTCACTTATAGCTTTGATACTGCAGGAGATAAGCCAGCTGTTTAGTGAAATAATTTTTAGAGTTGATATATAAAAATAATTGGAAAGCTTTTCTCCTGAAGATCTTTGATCAAAGAAGGGATTACCATATTTGTTTCAGGGGCTTTCATGTTTTGTGATGATCGTAGTCTTAACTGGAAGTATAGTAGTCTTTTTTTGTGACATATATTTGAAAAGGGTCATAACATAAAGATAAGATGAGATAGTCTTTTTATCTGCTATGGCAAAAATCAAACAATACAAATTAATTGATATTATACATATCTTTTCATCATTGATCCTGATTTTATTCGTGATCTTTATTCTGTGATGCTCATTTCTGAGATATCTATTTCCGAGATGCTCATTTCCAAGATGCTTATTCTGAAATAAATTTTCTCAGGTAAGGCTAATTTCGTTTTAGTCTTGTTATATGAAAAATTATTTATATAGGGAGAAAAGAGCGAGAAATCTTCTTTATGATTTAACAATATGACTAGCAAACTACCAGCAAGTCCTTCAGAAATTTATGCGGATGATATAAAGGTTTTTCAACTAAAAGCACTTTTATTAAATTTCCTAAGAAATACTTCTAAAATAACTGATGAACATATCCTGAAACTTAATCCTTATCACTTCTGTGATAAAGAAATTCTTGCCTTACTACTTCATTCATTCACAGTATTATTATATGGATATATATACCATTGAATATGTCTTGAAAAACATATTGTATGATCAAAATACGTTTTCCTTTATGCTCTATTTCTAGTTGTATATCACCTATCAAACTTATTAAGGAGAAACTTGCACTAGCTTTTGGTGAGTATCACATGGTATCTAAGAATAAGGATTTCAAAAAAAGACACCTTAAGTGATGATACTATAGAAGATAAAGATTCTCTTGTGGATTAAGAGGAAAAGAGAACTGAAGTTACTACGCATAATCAAGCGATAAGTCTAATTGCGTATGTGGAAGAGATACCAGAGCTATCAAATATTATCGATGATACTGAAAATGATGATGATGGGAATAACAATCATAGTTCTCAAAATAAGGTAGGTAATGCAGTAAAAATGGAATATGTAGTAATCATACTCACCTTTTATTCTGTTTATTTCCTGAAATCTACAATTGAAGAATAGATAATTCGACTAATCAAACAACTGAAGATGATATTGCTAATATACAAATCTGATCATCAAGAGAAACATCTCTAAGAACAAATCGTGAACAGGAAAGATTTTGAGGGTTGTTACATGAATTATCTACACCTATTAAGAGGGAGACTACCGAAACTAATAATGAAGATAAGAGTTCTGGGGGTTCAATCTCGCAGAATTTAGCTCAATTATTTCAAAAAACAATTAAAACTTAAAAGTGTATAACTCAAGCTTATCAAGAGGAAATTCACTATTGGTACTACTGTGCTGAACGATTTGAAAAAAGTGTTAAGGATGTTAAAGATAATGATAAGAGGGTTAAAGATCAACAGGCTAGAACCTAAGTATATAATATAATTTTAAAACATCTTTCAAACATTACAAGAGAAAATTTATGTAAGAAGACACAGAAGGCAAGAAATATTTTCGAATTGTTAGTAAAGTAGGGATTAAAAAAGTCAAGAGGATTCAATCCTATAGTGCAAATAATATTTCAAAGCTTATAGATACTCAAATCAAAAGTATTATAGCTCATTTTACTCAAGAATCATAAATTCTTTGCAGATCGCATGAACTATGTTCATGTCATGTGACCACTGTACCATATATCAAAATGTTTTTTAGTTTATCTTTATTATTTCTTATGATTAATAAATAAAGTTAGTTTGCGAGTCATTTTAACCAAATGTATACTGTATATAGATAATATTACATTACTTTATTGCAGGACTCGCCAGAAATATTTTATCATATAATTAGCTGGTAGATTCTACTTCTATTGGTTAAAAGTGAGAAGAGTCTTCACAATTGTTATATGATACAGCATGTATTAGCAGTCGATTGCGTTTCAAACTTTTTTTACGTGTTAATTTTCCCATCAGATAATATTGCGAGAAAAAAAACATATTTGTTTGTCATATCAATGAGAATAAATGTTTTTTTATTGTAGTAAAAAATACAGAAATTTATTATATCAGTTTCGTAATACTAAAAATTTACAATGAAGTTACGCTTTATCACCTTTCAAGAAAAGAACTTCATCTTGCTGACTACTACATTTTATAATAACACTTTTATAGTCATTCGTAAAGATGGATACCATAATTAAGAAGTTGCAACTCAGTAAATTGCAACTTCTTGTAAATTTATTTTAATATAAAAATTCATAAATAGTTGTAACTCAAAGTGTTGCAACTAGTTAAAAATTTTAAAATAATTATGGAAACCATCTTTAGTTATTCGCATAAAGAACCCAAAAGTTTGTTTTTAATTCTTTACTTTTTTTTGATAACATCAGAAATCAATGATAGCCTAATTTTTCATTAGAATCTTGTTGTATTTACCACTATTAACAAATCTTTTTGCATGCTCTTTCAAACGATTACCCTCCTGAGTTAGCTCAATTCTCTAACAATAATCACTATTAACAAAAAAATCTAGAAATCTATTTACGCTAAATGTAGTACTAACATCAGAACTAACTGATATATCCTTTGAGGCTACAGTTGTTGCAGTTCAGTACCATTCCATTTGGTATTGTAATGTCATTTGTTACAGTTATTTTAACAGCTGTAATTTCTTATTTATGCGTTTTTTGTTTTAATGATTTTTGATCTTCCTTCCTTCCTTCTGTATTCTGGATTATTATTTATAATATCTTTTTTTTATAATTATTAAATTGTTACATTATTTTGGTTTTATTAATAAAATTTATGTCTTATTTTTAACATTACCAAGTGTAATTTGCGATAGTTATTTTGATTATATTAATTTTTTTAAAAAACCTAAATTTACAATTACTTTTATTATACCTTATATTAATTTTGTAA